GGGGGCGGGGCGGCGGCCAGCCCTGCCCACCCGCGCCGCGCCCGCCGTGCCGCCAACTTCGGGCTCGCCTTGCTCTTCTCTTCTCCCCTTGCTCTTCTTGTGTTTTCCCCTCTTCTCTTTTCCCCTCTCCCTTTTCCTCTTCGTTTCCCTTTCCCTTTCTCATCTCCTTTCCCCCTCTTTTTCCTTTCCCTTTTGCCTTTCCTTTTCGCTTTCACTTTTCCCTTTCCTTTTTCCTCTCCTTTTTCCGTTGCTTTGCCTCTTCCTTTGCTTTTTCGTTTTCACTTTCCTTACAGATTTTTTCTTTTTCTTTTTCTTTTTCTTTTTCTTTTTCTTTTTCTTTTTCTTTTTCTTTTTCTTTTTCTTTTTCTTTTTCTTTTTCTTTTTCTTTTTCTTTTTCTTTTTTCTTTTTCTTTCTTTTTCTTCTTTTTTCATTTTATTTTTTCCTTCTCTTTCCTTCTTTTTCTCTTCTTTTTCTCTTTCATTTTCTCTTTTTCTTTTTTCTTTTTCTCTCTCATATCCATTTCTTTTTTTTCTCCCTCCTTTTCTTTTTTCTTTCCCCCTCTCTCATTTCATTTTTCACTCTCTTTACCTCTCTCTTTTTTCTCTCTCTGTATCTATCCACATCCCCCGCTTCTTCTCTTCTCTTTTCTCTTCTCTTCTCTTCTCTTTGCTTCTCTTCTCTTCTCTTCTCTTCTCTTCTCTTCTCTTCTCTTCTCTTCTCTTCTCTTCTCTTCTCTTCTCTTCTCTTCTCTTCTCTTCTCTCTCGTCTCTGCCTGCTTTCCTCCTTTCCTTCCTTCTTTTTTCCTTTCTTTCTTCCTTTCCTCCTTCCTTCTTTCCTTCCTTTCTTCCTTCCTGTCTTTTCGTTCCTTTCTCTCTCTCTTTCTCTGTTTCTTTCTCTCTTTTTCCTTTCTCTCTCTCCCTCTCTGTGTCTCTGTGCCCTGGGTGAATGGATGTTTTTGTAAAGATTTCTGAAATGCTTTCTATCTCTTTTACTTGTTTTTCTAAATTTGTGTTTGTTTTTCTTTAGGCATCCAGACCTGGAGAGCCCACAGAAGGCCGAGGACTGCTCTTCCTTTTAGGCACTGTGCTCAGAGGAGAAGTTGCCAGAGACAGAAAGGTAAGAGAGGCAAAAGTCACTGTACTGAGCTGGGAGCCCACAACTCATGCTTAAACAAAGAGCGCAGTGAGGAGCAGAGAGCCAGGTTTCAGCGGTGACTCAGATCTTCCCAGGGGCCAGAGGATGCTGCAGTTCACTGCAACTCAAAAAATTGTTGAGGTGCCTGGAGCAAGGACTCACCTTTGAGGACACAGTGAGCCAGAAAATACTTGTGTATGTGTACAAGACCTCATAATTCTACCTTGTCTTACCTATTTTTTTGAGCCGTCTTTCTTTGAGAGTTTAATTTCCAGGCTTTGTTTGCACTATTAGGCTTGCTTTTTTTTTTTCTTTTTTTTGTTTTTTTTGTTGTTGTTGGGGTTTTTTTTTTTGTCCTTTTTTTTTTTTTTTTTTTTTTGTAATTGCGGGTCTTAGATAAAGTGGACGCATGTTGATCCTCAAGCTGCGACGGTGTTTCCTCCTATTTCTAAATATGCCCTGTTCCTCGGAATTGTTTTAGTTTCATTCACAAAGCCGCGAAAAAATACACGCGGAGAAAGGGCGCGTAGAGCAGGATCTTGCCTCGCCGTAACTTTTGCACAGCCACACAAACTGCGCCTCCGAGAAGCTCGCGTTTAAGTCTACGGGTCTGATTTATTTTCTTTAATTTTTTTTTTTTTTT